CCCCCATGCTTTTCATGAAATTGTACAGTGTTGTATTAATAGCTGTACAGCTGGAAACGATAACCCACCGCTTTTTACTCGTCTGCCTGCCTGTCGTCGTCGTCGTCGTCGTCGTCGCGGCGACGCGATCGTCATCGCGTATATGTATAAAGAAGAAGAGGATCGCGATGTTGCCCGCTGCCGTGTACGTATTCTGCCGCAGTTGTACAAAATCTCACACGAGGAGGAGGAGCGCGTTGTTTCGTCATCGTCGTCGTCGTCGTCGTCGTCGTCGTCGTCGTCGTCGTCGTCGTCGTGCCGTAGCCGTAGGAACCGAGCAGCGAAGATGCGGGCGCGCGACGCTTTGCCGTTAACGTGACGGAAGCTTACGCGAGCTTGCTGCTATGCTACGCTGACGCCTCCGGGGCTCGGACGCCGACCTCACGCCGCATTGGGAGGTCAGCTTGGTCGCGACCTAGTTTCGTCGGGGTCACGCCTGCGAGGTCACGGCCAGGTGAGGTCGGCTTAGTATGACGTTGGTCGCTGGAAGGTGAGGTATCACCTGTGGGGTCACGACCTTTGACCTTTAGGTGTGGAGGTCATGCGCGGGGTCGTGACGGCCAGGGTTCGTGCAAATGTCTACTACTCTCGCCGGAGCTGCCACGCCTATCACGCGTTCGTGCCCCGTCTCTCCGGGGGTGGTGTGTGCCTGACTGCCGTTAGGTGGTGTTGGCGTACCTGGTTTGCGAGGGCGATGAGGTTTCTGTGAAGTCTCTTTGTCTGATCGCGGATCTGGCCGGGTGGGTCTCCGCCGAGACTTTCCAGGTCGTTTGCAACCAGCCGACACTGAGTTTCGAACGAGAAACGATAGCGTTACGTAGTATTTATGCATTCCTGTGTGCGTCGGCCGTGATGAAACGTTGACATCATCGTAGCAGGAGTAAGATAATATAGGATAAGATAATATAAGATAAGGATAGGATAAGATAATATCCTATATTATCTTACTCCTGATCGTAGTAGTACAGTCAACCCTGTGTGAGCGCGGCCACCTCCGTAGAACGGCCACCGATCCACGAAAATCGCTTGGCGTTGCTCTCGAGTGGCCGTTGTGTACAGGGTTGACTGTACGTGGCAGAGAATGCCCCCCTGCCCCCCCCCAAGCACCGGGATGCGCGTGTATTTCATGAGCTGGTCTCGGGGTGTGGGCGGCGGGCTGGTGTGTGTTCGCGCGCGTGTGTGCATGTGCGTGCGTCGCTGACGTGTGCGCCTACGTTCGCCTGGCGGTGAAGCCGCGCTGCACGCTGCGACTGCACACGTGTGTCAATAAAGAACGCTGGTGATGTTAACCAGGGCTGCTTTCTTGCTCTTGCCCCGCCCGCCCCGCTTATCATTGTCTTGTATCGTGCAATATATATACATACATACCTGAACACTTCTGTATATAAAATATTTATGGATTGCGAATAAAAGTCTTGGTTTTACTCTTACCCGCCGTTTACGTTTCATGTCGCATAGGCTATTAAGGACTAGAGAATCCCTGCTGTATGCTATCACTATATATGGAGGCGAAAAGCACGAAGATATAGATGAAATGTGCAAGAAAAAGAAAGAAACAAGTTGCCGACGAGCACAAATTAAATAAGTAGTATTTAAATGTACTAAATCACGCGCGAAGCTGTAGGTCAGATCTTAGACTAGTGGCCATCGAACGTATTATATCAGTTGTTTTCTACCTAGAAGCAGACATCGTGACGCGATATACCGTGTATTGCGATAAGTGCCGTAGACATGCTCGCGCTCGCTCGCATAAACGTACACAAAGATTACAGATATGGTTGTGGATCCACACATTCTCTATCACACGCACGCACGCACGCACACACGACACGCGGACGCACGCACGCAGACACGTGCGTGCGTGAGCGTACGAGCGTACAACTGCTTACTGGTTATATTAGAATATTGGATGGAGCAGGGAGCTGCCGCTGGCGACCTGCATGTGTAATCAAACTCATGTTGTCTTTCTTCAAGCAGCCGCTGGATTTCCACGGTACAGAGGGATCGGAAAGATTCTCTGTATACTGCCACGCGCTGAGTCAGGGGAGGGGCGCAGCCCGCGTGCCCCCCCCCCTATTCTCTGCCAAGCAAAATTTTTTGCCGTATAATGTTGACTTGCCCAACTAAAGGCCAATTACTTCGCATTCTGTAGACTTTTACGACATAATATACAACACAAGACAAATGAAAACTAAACCCGGTGCTACGCATAATATATTTTATCCCAATTTCATCAATATATATCACTGATATCGGCAATATCATCGATGTATATTCTCGCAAACATCCAAGACGAATGTTGTTCTTGAACTCACTTGTGGAGTATAATTTTAGGGGGTTGTGTGTTCTGGTACTAGCCGACTGATATAACAGACTAAAATGAGATCTGATCACTGACATTCATTCCCATTTGACCGTAATAATAAATTTCCATGATCTTTTTGATTACGCGTTATGCAGATAATCCTGGTAACTAACAATTAACTTTCACCAATACAGTGTGTATTGTTGAACACCTAACAATACACTGTGTATTGTAGTAGGTACCTAACAACTGTGTATTTAAATTCAATTTTATTTTCAATAAATTCAATAAAATCAATAAGATAATTTCAATAAATTCATTTCAATAAATGTCAATTTCAAGTTTACAAATCAAAAAATAAACTAATTAAAAAAGAAAAGAAAAAAAAGTGTATTGTTAGAAGGTGTTCAACAATAAACATATAGATAGATAGATATATATACATTATATTTAGTATAAATTAATTGCTTGTGTTTTATCATTATACAAGTTTTATCATAATTGTGGTGTGTTGTAGGATGTTACATCTCTCCACGTGTGTCTCATATTGTATGTTGTTTGTACGATGAATTTGTAATTTTTTTTTTGCAGAAATGTGTCAGAAACGTTGGCATCGCAGAAGTCGAGTGACAGTGACAAGTCAACTGTGACTGTAAGTGACTATAACCATAAGTTTACCTATAACTATATAATCATAATTATGACTATAAGTATAACTATATTACTACCACAATAAATATAAGCAATGTCTATGAAGATTTTTTTGTTTTTAAACACGTCTATACGTTGTTGATACTTTTAATGGTTTTAAGCTGTATATCTTGTTGTTTTTACCAGAGAAATTGAATTTGTTTATTCTCTGTTTGAGTTGTATGCAAATATAGAATACACATCATAAATTAATGGTTCTCGTACGATCTGAAATGATTTTAACGAGATTTCCGACTCGTGCGTCATGTCTCTGGCTTCCGTGGATAATCATGTGTGTGGGTGTGCGCGTTTTCCTTTCAGGGCGGTGACTTTGAGAAGACGTCTCCAATGCGGATCGACTCTCTGGAGAGCCAGCAGTCTGACCATGAACCCGGTGACCTTGGAGAGAGGCGCAGTGTGCACAGAGAGAGCAGTGTGAGTGAGGCTAATGGGAAAACTCGAGACTGTGAGTTAGCTGGCTGATACATCAGCCTGACGAGGGACGGAATTACACGGCGAAAAAAATTTAACAGACGAATGAAAGCCGGGAGAGTTGACGAGAGTAATCGGCAGGGTTGTCAACTATAGATGCTGGTCATGCGATCGGTTAGGTACGCGTTCCTGAGAAGCTTGCTAAGCGTTGTGCTGTATTGCAGTTATCAAACGCGCTCAGGGAGTGGGACATACCATACGAAGAACTGGTGATTGCCGAGAGGATTGGAACTGGCTGGTTCGGCATACAGTGTATTGTTGAAAGCTCGCTAACAATACACAGTGTATTGTCAAATGCCTAAACATACAAGACACTGTGTATTGTTAGTTACCAGGATTATCTGCGTTATGACATATTCACAGCAGACTGTAATGTCAAGCTGATTGCCTAGAGGTAAGAACATTTAGGCTTATACGTAAATATAAATGTAAATAAATGAATAATAAAGTGTGTGTGTGTGTGTGTGTGTGCGCGCGCGCGTGCGCGTGTGTGCGTGTGTGTGTGTGTGTGTGTGTGTGTGTGTGTGTGTGTGTGTGTGTGTGTGTGCGCGCGTGCGCGTGTGTGTGTGTATGTATGAGTATGGTTTGTTGTATGATTGCGTTCTAAAATAAGCGTGCATCTTTTAGAAGATAGTGCTGTCAGATACACAGGAAATTGCATATACGAGGTTTAATTAAAAATAGCGTAATAATTAAGAGCATCATTATGCGAGAAAGTGCTCTCTGCTCTCGCCATGAATACACAAGCCTTATGACACATTTAGATCTAGAACAGGCTGTCAAATTCTTTACAACTCTCCATTCTAATAAACTGGAAGTAAGTGCAATGTTGTGACCATGGGTAGAAGCTATTGTCGGTTCCAGTGAGGTCTTCATATTTTGCTTTATTTTATATATATATATGAGGTTGACACAGACATCTCAACATGTTTAAGTGTTCACCAATGCGCTGATTAAATGTGCTTTGGCTTTTATCAAAAGGAAATCTAGTTTATACGTTTTTGTACGCAGTTTAATGCAAAGTAATATAATCTGAAAGAATTTAGAGTGTTTCTGTGCAGTACGCAGACTAAGTTGGCAAAGGTCCATCTTCTGATGAAAAAGATCCCCACCCCTGGAAAGCTTGCCACTGGCCTGATTTGAGATTGTTGATCAAACCGGGGATTGAACTTTATTCTTATTTAGCTTTGTCTCTGATCTAAGGTTGGCACTCGTTCGCGCATGCGTATGGTGGCCGATCGCGTGTGCGCATGTGTCACTTTTGATCCGGCTTGGTTCTGCTAGCGAGGGCCGAGGTCAGAACGTCCTGGGTAATTATACAGAATCTATTGTCATTGTACGAGTTAGGATTCACTAATTTGTCGTATCAAGATTAGTTTTCTTTCATCAAAGCAGATTGCTACCTCTGCGATCCGATTCACGTCAACAATTAGTCACACATATGGCTTCCCTTCCTCTCCCTCCCTCTCTCTCTCTCTCTCTCTCTCTCTCTCTTGATCCTCGACTTATGGTCATCATTGCATCAATAATGGTTAACAATGGGCCTCGGGTGTTATTCTACGGGTAGTTGGTGCGAACAGCAAACAATGCAGCAAAACAAACGTGTGTGTATTTGCATGTGTTTTATTGGCAGACTGACAATGCTGGTATTACTTGTGTGAACGTGTCATTCCATGCCTCTGTGTCACAGGGTATGGGTTATCTGCATGCACGAGGCATTGTACATAAGGACCTGAAGACAAAAAACATCTTCCTGGAGAATGGCAAGGTCGTCATCACTGATTTCGGACTCTTCAATGTCGCCAAGCTGTGCAGACAAAACAAGTGAGCGTGCTCGTTGTTAAAAATATTTCTATAACATTGTGGGTGCAGTGTGCTGATGATAATATAAATTCAATTTAATCAAATTATTTTATTTTATTTTAGTTTTTAATTCAAATTAAATTATATTTATTTCATGTAATATTTTTGTAATATTTGTAAATTCATAATGTTTCAATTTAAAAAAAACACACATTTCTTAATTGTAAAATCCTGATGTGACTCGTTCTGGTAGAGTGACACATGCTGCCCTCTTGCAGGGACAACTGGCTGTCGATTCCACCGGGCTGGCTCTGCTACCTCTCTCCTGAGATTATCAAAAGTCTAGAGGCGCGGTGGCGCCACGATCACGACCTCCCGTTCAAAGCCACGTCGGACGTGTTCGCGTTCGGGTGAGTGCGCCCGCGACACGTGGAGTTGGGGGAAGACACGGGGAGGGGGGAGACACGGGGAGGGGGAGACACGTGAGACGTGGGACATTGAGTCTGACACGTCGAAGGGTGTGTGGTGTGCAGAGCATGAGTGGGTGTTTATTTATTCTCTGTTTGAGTCGTACGAAAATATAGCATGCACATATCGTAAACTAATGGTTCTCGTACGAACTGCAATGATTTTAACGAGATATCTGAGTCGTGCGTCTTGTCTCCGTCGGTGTATGTGTGTGCATGAGTGCGTGCTTTTCTCGTTGAGAGCGTCGTTGAGAGAGTGTACACGTGAGAGCACGTCTGACGTCATCACGTCATGGGTTGACAGACCTGCCAACCCTTACGATTTTTTCGTATTCCTTACGAATTCCATGATGTTTCTACAAATGTATGATCAAACTAAAAAACTTACGATTTTTTACGACTTGTGAAAATTAATGTTTTTTACATTGTGAGCTGAGAAATATCTGGCGATTGTGGGCGCAGCCATATTGGATCACGCGTTCACGTTGTTCTCGCGTGATCTAGAGTTAGTCCCATCATTCATTGCGCGCATAACATACAAACAAAATGGCCGCCTGCTGCAAGAAAAGAAAAGCCTTACTATTTTCATGAATCACAGGTTGGCAGGTTTGGGTTGACGTCTGATGTCATCACATCATGTGTTGACGTCTGACGTCGTCGTTGTCGTGTGATTGCAGGACGATGCTCTACGAGCTGCTATGTGGAGAGCAGCCGTTCAAGCAGCAGCCTCCTGAAGCCATCATCTGGCAGGTCGGCAAAGGCATCAAGCAACCGTTCGGACACATACAGGCCTCGCGCGAGCTAAAGGTGAGTGTCTGCCTCTATCAGGCCACAATTTAAAAAAAATGATAGAGGCAGACACTTGGGCAAAAATAAAAATGTTGTTTGTTTGCCCCCACCCGACCCAGGCTGAAAAGTTTGGGTAGGTAGGTAGGCTTTTTTTTTAGGGGGGTCTTTTTTACAAATTCAGCATGGTGTCTACATGCTCGAGTGTGCTTGTGTGGAGATAGCTTTTATGTTGAATGTTTGTATTGCTTGGTGCATATAATGTATTGCCTACAGATTTATATAATGTACAGTGATACAATTTGTAAAAACAAAAAAGAATGGGAAAGATCAATAAAAATGTTTGAGTCGGCCCCTTTTTGGCTGGTCGGTCGGGTGAGGGCAAACAAACAACATTTTTATTATGGCCCGAGTGTCTGCCTCTATCATTCCTCACTGTATGGCTACGTTTGTTCGCCTGTTCAATCTTTATGAAAAACTCGCTCGCTTTCTCTTTCTATCTGTTCCCCCCCCCCTTCTCCCTCTCCCTTTGTCCGCTCTCTTTCTTTGCTATTCGCTCTCGTCATTTTCACCATCGTGTTTTCCGTATATCGTAGTAGAGTGCCATGGATCTAGATGTCTTCCCAACCTGTACTTATCACATGTGTTGCGTTTAGACGTTATGCCCGGCGCACACGTGAGTTA